AATTACGAATGAAATGAATTAAATATAACTTGTGAATTAAATCACTATTATTATATTTGTGAAGTATTTCCTTGGGAAAGAGAAAATAAGATTATTCACTCATTGGTATAAATTGGTATAACTTAATCGCGATTCAAGAGATAGCGACGTGTGTATTTCAAGCCAGCCACAGTATTTCATGATAGTAAATCATCAGAACGGGCTCCCAAGCTATGGGATTAGATACGGCATTCGCGCTTGCACTTAAGAGGGAACCGATGCACGCAATTCTGTAATATGTTTTGTAGTGAACTTTTCAAAAAAAGATTACGATGCTTTTTCATACTTGTTCTTTAACCGGCACAAATTTGTTAAGAACCATAGATTTGTGAACCACAAATTTATTGTTATATCACCGAAATTAAAATTTATCGCTGAAGCATGTAATGCTGTTCATAAATTGCAGTGAATTTTGTTTTATTATTATATAAATACTGATTGATATAGTATTTTACAAGATTCAAAAAAGAATTGTTTACTATGTATAACAGTTGAGAATGTTTTGATCGATTTATTAATGTAGAAAAAAGATAATAGCAGAAAATATCAGTGGTCTTTGTAGACAATATAGAGCAAAATAAAAAAATTATGTATTAATATATGTTAAATTTTGTTTGATCAATATATTTTATATTGATATTAAGGAAATAGATAATACTTCGTCTGTGAGAACAACAAATGTAGTGAAATGTATTATACTGAATTTATTTAGTAAAACAATTCATTAATTAATTAGTATATTTTTTAATTTAACGTATGCGCACAAAACACCATTTTTCTATTCTCTGTTTATAGTCTATTTTTAGGCCTTTGGGGGACTAGTAAAAAAAAAGTACATATTTGATTGACATGAGCTTTTGTGGTCTATTTTAACACATTATGAATTATAAAAAGCAACATTAAAAGAGAAAAAAAGAGGGTTCTTATTTAGCTTTTTAACGGCATCATTTTACATAACTTTTTTTTACATTGCCTGTCGGTATGGTGCATGATTCCAGCGAAACAGAATTAGTTACAACAAAAAGGCAAAAAAAGTTCAAAAGTAAAAAATATTTTCTAAGGATTGACGATCCAACATTTTCACTTCTGTGAAAATTATGAAAATAGCAGCTATTTGTTTTTGATGTATTGAATTTATGCTAAAAATTTCTATGTTTTTTGTTTCCATTTTTAATATTAATTGTTAACTTGTTAATTTTTAACGAAATTGTTAAAAATTAAAAAAATGTTCGATTGTCAATCTCTAGTAAATGTTACACCAAAGATACGTATCAAGTTTCATAGTAATCGGTTGGTTAGATTCCGAGATAAAAACCTAGTTTCGAGAAAAACGCGTTTAAAGTTTTAGAACGTAATTTTTCATATGTATCCTTTTTACTTATATATCGCGGCTCACAATTCTCACAATTCACAACTAAATTGAATTCAAGTCCCCTAATATTCGATTCACTAAAAGTAATATTTGAATCACACGATTTGCACTTTATTATACTGCTTAAAGTTATAAATAGTGATGTAAATTCAATTATTCTGTATCCGTGGCAGATTTTTATACCCCAAAATAAGTTTTAAAGGCTAGGACCTTTTGTATCTTATTTCTAAGACTTCAAACTAATATTTGAAACAAAAAAACAAAAAAAAGAAGAATTGGTTTTTTGAAAATTTCAAACTGTCCTGACCTTTTAAAAGATACATATTTGTAGTTTTTTATTTCATACTTATGACATTTTAATAATATTTAAATACATTTATAGTTTTTAAATTAGAAATTTATTTTTGTAGAATATGTCTATATTTTTACGTTGTCACGTAAAATCTAAATTTTACAAAGTAGCATTTTTCCTTATTTTTCTTATTTCAAGTCGAAACCGTGCTATGAATTTGTAAAAAATTTCTTGAATATTATAATAACAAAATAAATGGGTTGTAGATTTTCTCATTTTCAGTTTGCTATTGCTCGAATCATATTAAATTCACGAACATACAATATTACAATGGCGTTGGCTTTCATATATTTCGAGAATATTACACAGGAAAATTGCTGATGACACAGGTATTGTCTACAAAGCTTCCTGAATTTTGTGTTAGTGAAATACTTAGTTACAATAAAGCTTCTTGGTAACAGAATAACTAATTACAGTGCATACAAAGTTCCCTGGTAGTCGTAGATATAATCGCAGCAAGCAACACTTATTTTCTACTGACTTTGATTCCCGCTGGGAAGTATATTTCTATCGACTATTCAGGGATTCGCGAAGGGGGGAATAACAGATGTATTTCTATTAACTGAAAGCCATACGAGGCAATGCTCGTTTATATCACGCGCTGTTAAAGGGAAGATGCTCGTTTTACGTTGAAGGAAAAATCTTCTGATGATGGAATTTCTTTAGAGATTAATTGTAAAAGCTTCAATATTAGTCCATTTTTTTTTTTTTTTTTTTTTTTTTTGGTTGAAATTACGTATTTTCATTATAGGAACATGGAAAAATATATAATAATATATTTCGTGATGAAACAGATTAATATTTATTTTATTAATAAAATGGGTGAAAATTATTTTGAATCTAATTATTTTGAATAGCGTTGCTAAAAAATTTTTATGGACATAAAAATGTTGGTGAAGTTTATAAACAAGTGTGTAAGCTTTATTTAAATTGATAGAATTTTTGTTGAGGTCAAAATTTGGTTCTTTAATTTAATCTATTGATTATTATCTAAATTAGATTATCTGTCATATAAATCAGTTTATATATCCGTTCCTAAATTGTATATTTTTTATTTCTTTTTGTAAGATTTGTGAATAAAATAAGACTTGTGTAGAAATTTTAGAAAAGAATATACACGTTCATCACGTTTACTTTATTTACTGGACTTAAAAAATATTATAAGAATTGAGAATAAACGTAATCGTGCGTGTCATCGATAATACATACATCGATATTATTGACTCGACAGAATTATCGACAATCATCGAAGTAATCTGGTGGGAATAATAATAGTCGATGAAATTTTAAAAAATGTTATCAAGAAATTAACAACAGTTAAACAATTGTTATTGGGATAACTTCAAATATGCATCGAATATATTGCGTCATTTAATTAAAAGTCAAATTTATTACAATTTAAATTTTAATTATGTCCAAACATAATGATGAATATTCTATTATTATTACATATGTATATTCATTAATATGTTTGTCATCGTAGCATACATTTCCAATTTATTCATTTAGTATAACTTGGTATATTTCTGCTTGTAATATTTTATTTGTATATTTTGTCTTTCAATATCGTGCCACACTCGTGATATAAATTATTTATTCAATGGTTTTCGAAAAAGCAAATTACAATTCTGTGAAATTTTAAGTCGAAGTTTAAATTTAATTTCTTTAAATTAACAGGCATTTACTGTAAATAATGTCTTAGTGTTTTATATCTGAAGTAATGTTATAATTACAATAAGTAATGCTCATCTAATATTATTGCAAGAGGTTAAAATACATAAAAATCTACAACCCAGATAATTATACCATGTATTATATTTCCCTACGATAATAACTTGAAAAATAAATTACACTGCGAATCAATATTATCATTCCACTTGCTCTCACAATTTTACATCAATAAAGCTAAACAATAAGTTAAAATTCATGAGTTTTTGACGTTACACGATCAGACAAAGAATCTCTCATCTATCCAGTAATAGTTAGTTGGTAATAATTAAAAATTAATAATATTGTTAACAGTTTAAAGTAATGAAAATGAATTTAAAAAAAAAAGTAAGTAAAATTTATTTTGTACCTTTTGTATCGGTTATAGGGTTAATTAATTTATTTTAATAATTTTAATTATTTCGAAAGTAAATGATCTAAATATATATATATATATATATATATATATTTTCTTGTAAAATAAAAAAAATAAATATATACTTAGAAATTAAATATTAGTTTGTCGTATTTATTAACATCTAGTTTTTAAAAAAATAAATTTAATTTATATTAAGTATAATAATTTTTATTAAATTTATATTAATTTATATTATTTATATTTTTTTTATATTAATTTATAATTTATATTAAATATAATTTTTTAAAAAATAAATAAGGAAAATTTATTTTGTACCTTTTGCATCAGGGTAATTAATTAATTTTAATTATCTCGAAAGTAAATGGTCTAAATAAATAAATATATATATGTTTTCTTGTAATAAAATAAGAAAAACAAATATATACTTAGAAATTAAATATTTGTCGTATTTATTAACAGCTAGTTTTTTTAAAAAATAAATTTAATTTATATATAATAGACGCATTTGCAGTGGTCTTCCTTGAACTACCGCGGTTGATTACGGTTTGTCAATTAAAAACGATTTCTCGTTTCCTGACGTATTTCTATACTGTGGTGCATCTTCGGTATGAAAGGAAGAGCATCTCGCTCAGTCATGTCCCTTTGTGAAAAGACGCGTTCTTCTGCAATCTACTGCCAGCCGACTTACTATATATATGAATATCACAATGATTCGCGTCCCCTTCCCCTCCGGGCTCAGCGTCGTGAGACCTAACGATCCGATTTTGTGCGAGCGCACGAGGCCTGGAGGAGCATGCCAGCTGACTCACGGCAGCCACCACCACCACCATGCAGTCCTCTCCACACATTTCTAAACGCACATACACGAGGTCTCTTTCGCTCCTCTCCTGCCTGGGCGCACATCGAGTATGAAGAAAGAGTATGAAGCCACGTTTCGCCTCTAGTCTCGTTCCAAACTCGGAACACTTCTGTCTGGCATTCGCGGTCAGTTCCGTTCTCTGCCGACTCGGTGTGCCACGCTGATTAACGACCAGTTGATTTCTCCGCGGACGTTCAAACGAAATCATATTCAGAGGAAATGGATACGGATTCTTCTGAATCGCGGCTGCGGCACTGAAAATAATCGCGACGTTGGAGGATCATAATAGGTATCTGATTGGTGTTTGGCCCCGAGAAGAGTTTCATGTGTCATGTTCAGTGTTTTAAGTTCGTGTCTTTATGTAGTCTTTTACGATGCTGAGGATTAGTCAAATTGTGCGGTCGATAAAGAAGAATTTTATATATTCGGAGAAATAATTTATGGATTGAAAGTGTCTGTGCGATGAGTTTCGATTTGTATTGCCGAAGATGTGCGACACCGTGCAGTCGATGAAGAGAAATTTTGTGTAGCCGAAGCAGAAAGAGGACACATTCGGAGAAGCTTACGGATCGATAGTGACTTTATATTTGTGTCTATGTTCTCGTGGTGATCGTTTTCGACTGTATTTTGTAATGTAAGTCGCGGATAGAAGCGGTGACAGATACACGCGGCAGAGAATGACAATTTACCAGACGAGTAGCGGTTTCTTCTATCTATTTGATGTCACGGTTGAATCAGTTTTGCAACGACGGCTGCGTTAAAATCAGTCTCTGGCTTCTTGCCACGTGAAATTTGATTCACTCCGAGATTATATCGCTGTGGCAGGAATGCACTTGACTTTGCTACCACGAGAATTATGAGTACGGATCTTCCTTTCAATCGATATTTTATGCAAATTCTTTCTTATGTTGTCGTATTCACTCCCCGATGATCTTCGAATACGAATTTCTTTATTATACTGTAAATTAAATAGTCACAGTATGAGAAAGTACCGCGTAATATTATTTTATCATTTTATATTATTGTTATTTTTATCATTTTACTAAATTTAACGTGAATATGAAAGATGTTGCTAAGTATAAAATTGATTAAAGAAGTATGATGCATTATTTAAATATTTATTAACGCTTTAGCGGCGAGTGTCACATATATGTTTGACTTTGGCTGGTTAACAAAGATATCAATATAAATAAATAAATGAAAGTATCTATTAACACTAGAACAATTTATTACCGCATCATAAATATTCTACATACAGATCGTTCAAACGAATAGATTTATAAATTATGTCTCTGTCCAAACAATTGATAATAGTTCTAACGAGAATATGCGTATTTTTTAAACATTTGTAAAAAAAAAAAACGGAAGCCTGAAGTCAGAAGTCAGTTGTTACAGTGTCAAGATAATAAAACTTCTATGATCTACAGTTCTGATAAATAATATATATTTTTTACATTTTTTGCATTCTCATTGTCATTTCAAACATCTCGCCGCGAAAGTGTTATGATACAAAATTTACTAACACGTACGCTGTGACGCATCGACTTTCATTGGGAGTCCAGCGTCACGCATATGTGACGGCAGTCAATTTTTTCACCTTTTCTCCGAATAAAAAAATGAACACTGAACGAAAATTATTTATATGGCCCAGCTTCACATACTTGTGGTACATTAGAAAACCAGATTTACATACTTATTTATTAAATTTTGATATTACTTCTGAATAAAAATCTGCAGTACATTTTGCTAATTCAAAAAGCTCGAAAAATGAGTAATGGGCTGTGGTTGAAATCTATGTTATCTATGTTAACCACTTGCGCTGGCAACTGATTGCGCGGACCATAACGAGTGACCGAACCGTATACAATAATTCGTCGCATTCTTCTTCTTTTGAACTCGTCGGTATGATATCACTGGATATAAATGATTAAGAAGTAATAAACCTATCATTTGTTTTGCCTGGGTTACACTTAAATATACTTAAAACTGAGAAAATGTTGCAATTTGGGGCAAAAGAAATTCTCGATGTGCCTGGTACGTCATTCCAGCGCAAGAGGTTAAGAAGCGACACTTTTGAACGGAGGTTTTTTACGAAGAAGTCAATGGTTGATCCGGTAGCATCAACATTTCGTTCATGCTACATTGTGTTCATTAATACTTCAGCTACGTGAGAAAAGGAAGACCCGTGCTAGCTAGCTCACTATGGAACAGTAGCGTTAAAAGAATTCGAAGTTGGAATTTAGTGGTTTCGCAAGGAAAGTTTGCTGCGGTTCGATGAGTTTTTGGAAAGTGTCGATGTTGTATTGTGCACAGTGGTATTTCTCGTGACCGTAACAGCAATTTCTATAGGATGGCTAGTGAAGTGATGTTGGCACCCGCCGCGACGCCTGGAACGTCCAGACGAGAAATAGACGACGTTAGAGATATGGTTAGAAATGCGACCGTCACTACTGTTTACGTAAGTTCACGAGATTCTCTATTCTATACTCTATACATAGAGGTAGGGAATTTTTTCACTGCCGCGAGTCGTACGAGGTGCTTACTCAGTCTGTCGAGTCCCCTACTATGGAAATTAGTTTCCACTCTGTGCATTCTTTCTCGCCGCAGCTGTTCCGATCTTCCTTTAATTTAGCTAACAATAAGCCAAAACTAAATTGGAGGGATCGATGCAATGAAGGGAATAACCTTATCGATCAAAATAGTTGGGACAAGGGTCATTGGCTGCTTGTGAGCCACCAATTCGACATTTCTATTCTCGTGTTAAATATAATATAATATATTATAATGTAATATAATATATAATATATAATATATAATATATAATGTAATATATAATGTAATATAATATATAATATATAATGTAATATAATATATTATAATATAATATAATGTGAGTCACTTAGTTACGCAGTATTTTAATGTTCATTTGGCTGCGTTAGTATTCCTTTGTCGACTTTGAAAAATTTATCCATCATCTTCGTTTTTCATCAACGGTCTTTTCATCAAAGTTTCGGCAAGATACTTATTGAGATTGAAGTTTTGGATGGTGAACGCTGAAAGTTACGTATGTAGGCTAAGAAAATGAAAATAGACTAGGTGTTACTGTTATAACTTTTATTTTCATTGGTTATTATTATGTGATAAATAACAAATTTTCTTATTCTTAATAAATATAGATAATTTTTTTTAGTGGTTCAATAAATAATATGTTAGATAATTTGCTTGAATGAAAAGTTAAATCCAATTATGATAATACATTCATAGAATTTAAAGACAGATTTAATAATAATTCATTTTAAAATTGCTCAACATTTCTTAATGTAATTATATAAAAACTTGAATTTTTTAGATTATTGATGATATATATAATAACGAGATAATTGAATAAAATATGAGCACAATGATTGATAATATTTGATATTTTAAAATAGATATCTAGAATATGGTTTGATTGACAAAAAATATTTATAAATATATAAAAAAATTCATTTTTTCACATTAATTGATGTATTGCTTTGCTTTCTTTTGTTAAAATACAGAAGAATCTCTTTTATCTGAACCATTATTTTTGAAATATTATCTTAATATCGTTGTTGTCTGTTAATCATCACTTAAGAAGATATTTTATTACAATAATATAACGATCGAATATTAAAATATTCGTAGAATAAAAATTTGAAAGGCTTTATAAATTAAATCTTTTGGAATAGTTAAATATTATGAATTATTTTGAAATTTATGACAGTCAATAAGAATCTTCATTTAAAATTTTTAATTTTTCAATAGGGCAAAATATATTTATCAACTTATATATAGAAAGTTTTAATTTTTATGTAATATTATATTGCTTAGTTTTCATACATCGAGACTTCTATAATAGACAGAGCTTTGAAGTATACACCACGTCCATCTGGAAATTGATTTTGACTTTTCGCCAGTATCGCAGCTATCCTCGTCACGTATGTGGAAGTCTAAGAATATCTTTTACACATTTGCTTCTTTTTCGCTAAAATTATTCTGTTCTGTAAAGTGTCAAGCTTTATGTCACGTTGACGAAAACAAAGATATCACAATATTGATCTATTTATAATATTGTAAAGATACTGTTAAAATTTATCCTAAAAAATCAGTACGTAAATATCGAGCATTTAGTATGTATTAAAATAAACAAAAATGTTATTTTAATTAACACACAGGATCTTTCTTTTGTTCTTCTTATATTAATAACATTACACGAATAACATAAATAATTTTATAATTTTTTTTAAATTTGAAATAACGAAACTTCAGGGTTATTTAAATCATCTGTATATTTAAACAAAATTTATTTATATCAATTTATAAATATTGAAATAGAAATCATACAGAAATATCGTTTTAACGAACATTTACACGTCAATTTTAGAAGAGATAAATCAGATTAGATTTGTGTTTTAATTTTTTATTAAATACGTTTTGTGTTCCTACTTTTTCATATTTTTCAAACATTAATGTGTACAAAAGTTTTGTGTGTGAAGACTACTATTTTTTAATAATATATGAAAAAATAATTATTGTTGAGGTATACATAAATATATACAAAATTTTTATCTAATTCATAATTTATCTAACAAATTAGCGCTTTTTATATTTAATTCTAATAATTTAATCTCAAAATAAAGAAAATAAAACATTCGAACAAAAATTATGCTGGAATAAATAAATAAATTGTTATTACTTTTTATAATTATTTTGTAATTATTAAAGGCAATTATTTTGAACTTTTCAGACAAACTTTTTGTGTAAATTATTAAAAGAAATATTTTATGAAAATCTATTATTAGAAAATGTTAAAAATTTATGAAAGAATTCATAATATTGAAATTCAAATAAAAATAGTTCAATCGCAAAGAGCAAAATCACAGAAAATTTCATAATTACACATGTAGATACTCTATCTCTAATAATAAATTTTCTTATTTTAATTTTTTTGATACTTGAAATAAGTATTTAGCACAAACAAAGTTCTTTTGAAGAGTTGATTGCGAAAGTTGAGTCATTGAAAGAATAGAATAAAATAAAATAAAATAAATAAAAGAGAAATGAAAATGAATCGTTGTATCTTAGAAAGAGTTTTTATTTCAGTGTACTATTCAATGTCATAAATTTATAGTCACAAATTAGATTTATGAGCAGTTCGATTGCAAATGCATGTTAATATGTAACAATAAATTCATAGTTTAAATCAAGAAACATATTCTAGATGCATATGTATTGAGAGGTAGTTGATACTTAAAATAAAATATATATAGATGTCCCTATTTATCTGGTATACTTTTGCCAATAGAGTCTATAAGTAAAAAAAAAAAAAAAATAAAAAAAATAAAATAAAATAAAAAAAATAAAATTTTATAAACATTGTAAACATATGCTCAAAAATTCTTCGTCGAAAAGAATTATAACGAAAATTCGAAATAAGAGTTGACGATATTTACGTTCCATAAATTTCATTATTATAAATAACATTTGTCAAAAATTGAATTTATAACATTTAGAATCTCTAATTGATTTGCTTTCATTTTATTAAATGCATTATAACTTGCACTAATAAATTTATACCGTACACTTATAACCGTTGCACTAATTACTTTTGTGTGGTCTTTTGTTTTAATAGTTTCAACGATAAAAAAAAATGCAATGGCGTGAAATCTGGTGACCTTAGAGATCAAGGCATTGGTTCATCTTTACTATTACTACATAATGTGCAATTTTGTAGAAAACTCCAAAAAAAAGCAATCTTAACTATCAAGCGCAGCTTGATAGTGTAAACAGATTAGACATTGCCGATCCGTCTTACATTGTAAGAAGGATTAGGACCAAGCGAAAACTATTATTGTTATTTCGAATTTTCGTTATAGTTCCTCAACAAAGAATTTTTGACCTTTTTTTACATTTTTTTATTTTCATTTGTAGAACTTATTAGTAAAGTTATGCTGGAAAAAGTATGGACATCCTGTATGTATTTCGTTGTTAATCAATTGTAAGTAAACTTGCTTGTTGTTTGACTACAGTAACGAAGGACAATAGTGTCAAGGACAAGATTTCACTCTCAAACCATGAAACGGTCACGGTGTCTGGGCGGTAATGATCATTTTTAGCAGTGCAGCATTGGCGGTTTTGCGCTCTACTACCAATGTTAGGGCAAATGAGGTTTTTTGCTTCTTCAGAGTTGGTTTCAATTGGTTGATGGTAATGAAGGATCTTCGTTTTTTTCTGAGAATGAGAAATATTTTCCAGGAAAGACGAAAGGCAATTTTGTAATTTTGATAGATCTGTGCAGGTTATAATCTGAAAGCTGCAAAAAATAAATTAGCAAGAATTTTCTTTGTAAATAACACTTTACTTGGAATTCATAGATGATTTGAATGAATAACAATTCTTTCGTTATTCATTTTACAATGATATTTAATCAGGCTGATAGTAATAAGCATGACTCTTTATTCAGAATTTATAGAGATGATTTTTGTAACTTGAAACATTTGATATAAGATACGTTTGGAATAATGAATTTTTTGTTATTGTTTGTCATTTATACTAATATTTAATTGAAAGGGTTGATAGTAATTATATAATTGTATGGATAATTAGCAACAAATATTTAAGAAATAACAAAATATTTGTATAAAGATTTTTTCTTAATTCTTTTAGATTTCCCTCCTAATTTGATACGAGTTTTCTTATCTTTCTTAATATGCTTAATTTAGATGGAGAAGCAGAATCGTTAATTATAGAAATTATATTTCAAATACATACAATGAAGGCAAAAGTAATCGTGAAAAATGTAAAGGTATTTTCAAAAGAGGCTAATAATATATAAATTGGAAAATGCAAAAACAAAACATGATGAAAGTGTAATCAAGTTGAAATTTTATTAAATTCCGAAAATAATATTAATATTAATATTAATTATTTGGTAAAAATAATCAAATGAAAAAGAATGTGTACTGTTCATGATAAATATCTTCAAATCTCTAGATCAAGAATTAATAAAGAAATAATTTTGTCAGAATGATAATTTTAATAGCGATTTCGCATATTTTAATAGAAAATTAATAAAAATGAAAAAAGTAAAAATATAGTATCAAACGAAACAACGTAATTCTGTTTTTCTTGGTCCTTTTTAATTAGAAGGTATCTTAAAACAATGAAGCGATTGTAAGAGCAATATGAGAAGATCAATTTTTTCATATCCTATAAAATTATATAAATACTGCGAAACTTTGAAAAATTTGAATTCCAACACTCACTATAGTATAAAAATAAAACTGTACGTGCTGATCATATTAACACAGTATGACATAAAACTTTCAGCATGTCAGTAGAAAACCATATTGCAACTTGCATTTGGAAAATTGTACATAGAAATTTTAAAGAAAAGTTGAATTTAGTTGGACGTAAGCCACAAACTTTTTCTCTTAG